GATAGATAGATAGATAGATAGATAGATAGATAGATAGATAGATAGATAATGAGAGAGAGAGAGAGAGAGAGATGATAGCTGGATGGCTGGATGATGGATGGATAGATAGATGATATATAGATATAGATATAATTTTCCGACAGAGCAAATCTTGCCACTCTGCCTTTTTTCTTCTTCTTAAATCACCTCTGAGGTTTCATATCGCTATTGGAGGGTGGCAAAGAATACAGGTCGTCCTCGTTTAGCGACCGTTTGACGTGATGACCGATCACCCCCGAAAGGTAGTCGTCATAACTTGGATTCAAAGTTCTGAGGGCTGCACCTTCTCCCAGCTGCCAGGCGATCACATTTTGGGTGCTTATTTATTGAGCCTACGATGAGAACACAATCGAACAAAGTAAACACACACACACACACACACACACAACTCACTCACACTCCATGTAGTTACAGGCAGGTCATCCTCGACTCACGACCGTTCCTTTAGCGATTCGGCTGTTTTCCATCCTTGCTGCCTTTTCTTGTTTGTTGGAAGAGTTAAGGGGAGTGGGTGGGGGGGGGGGGGGGGGGGGGGGGGAAAGGAAGGAAGAGAGATGACAGGGAATTTCTTTCTTCCCCCCCCCCCCACGAGACCCCCATGATTCTGCCCTGCGTGGTTGTTTAATTATAGGTTTTCAGGCCCAGATTGGTGGGCGACCATCGGTGGGAAAATCGCCTTCCTCAACCCTGTCATTTCGCCTAGTCGGAGCGTTTCTTCCCAAAGAGGAATCTAGAAATTTTCTCCGCGAGGTGCGGAGTGGACTGTCTCGGCCTCAGCGGGGTTGTAATGACAGTCGCGTTTTATGGCAAGCTGAGACTGAATAGAGCCGGCGACGGCGTTTCCTTCTTGTCAAGCAGATCATTATTTCGTGTCATTTCGTGACAGTTTTAGGCCTCACTCTTTCTTTCTTTTTTTTTCCCTCCTCCTCCTCCTCCTCGCTCTCTCTCTCTCTCCCCCTCTCTCTGGCTTTCTCTTCTCCCCCCTCACTCCCCCCTCACTCTCCTCCGCGGATGAAATGGCTAGGTATCTATGAGACTCCGGCGGGAACCCTCCTCCACCGTGCTCATTTAGACCTCGAGGCCTTCACCGCCGACCGCGAAGTGCGCAACATCAAGCGAGGACTGGCCACCAGGTTCGCCGAGCTGGTGTACAACGGTACGTAGCGACTTCGGGTCGGCCTACCTACCGCCGTTCCTGACAACACAGACAACAGTTCCATTGTAGGAACTCTTCAAAGTTACGACGGCGCTGAAACAAAGTGACATAGGGCCGTTTTTCGCACTTACGACCGTTGCGGCATCCCCCCCTGGGTCACGTGATCCAAATGCAGATGCTTGGCAATGGACTCATAATTATGACGGTCGCAGCATCCCCGGGGGGGGGGGTGTCACGTGATCCCCCTTTTGCGACCTTCTGACAAGCAAAGTCAAATGGGGAAGCCGGATTCACACTTAACAACCGTGTTTTACTCACTTAACGACTGCAGTCATTCACTGAACAACTGTTGTAAAATGGGGCAAAGTTCCACTTTACTCGCTTAGCCTCAGAAATGTTGGGGTCAGTTGTGGTTGTGAGTTGAGGACTACTTTCAGTTCAGACCAGAAGCACACCCCAAATGCTAATTCTATCTTTATTGTAAGGTTATTGTAACGGAATCTTGTAAGTCTGAAAGTACGTCCCTCTCTCCCACCTCATCTTTACAACCCAAGAAACTAGGGAGGGTCTCTTTTGAGATGCTTGCCATATCCCTTTTCCTTCTTGGGGCTCAGCTGCCTCTTATCTGACCATTGTTTTAGTCTATAACTCTTCTCCCGGACTCCCAAGGTCATGTCTGAAAGTACCTCTCCCCCCCCCTAATCTGTACAACCCAAGAAACTAGGGAGGGTCTCTTTTGAGATGTCTGCCGCACCCCTTTCCCTTCTCCAGGCTCAACTGCCTCTTATCTGCCCACTGCCTAGTCTACAGCCCTTCCTCCTGACTGCCAAGATAATTTTCTTACCGGGTGGACCAGATAGGAAATACAACCAGATAAACGAATTCTTTATTGTAGTGCTACATTAACAGAACCTTTGTCAGGAGCAATGAGTGCTCCGCCGTTGGAGGTTTTTCCAAAAAGAGGCTGGACAACCATCTATCTGGAATGGGCATAGTGATGGTGAACCTCTGGCACGTGTGCCGCAGGTGGCACGCAGACCCCTCTCTGCAGGCACGCGAGCCGTCACCCCAGCTCAGCTTCGCCGTGCATGTGTGCGCACCTCCCGCTGGTCAGCTGGTTTTTGGGTCTCTGCTGTGCACTCAGTGCCAAAAAGTTTCACCATCACTGGTATAGGGTCTCCTGCTCGAGCAGGCGGGGTGAGCTAGAAGACCTCCAAAGTCCCTTCCAACTCTGTTATTCTGATGTTCTGACCCTACGAGCAAAGGCCAACGTTATTGCAACCTCTCTCCGATTGCCTTCGGAAAGGAAACTTCCTGACAAACAGTGCCAACTCTGGCTGCTCCGTTTCGTGAAGCCCGGGAAGGCTAGCCATGCCCACCATTTACTCTACAGTCCAAGGGGATGTTTCTCAGGCCTCTTTGGCATGTTAAGGAACAACCTTGCGCTAACCTAGGCTCCCTGGAACGTCACGGACAGGTGTACCTATTTTCCTTGACGGCAATACAGAACTTGGTTTGCCATAGTTGCCTTCCCGGAAGGCGTGGTGTCGAATTGCCAGCTGTGCCAGAGGGCATTTGTCGAAGAGAGGGATACAGGCAGTGGGATTGGAGCCACATCTGGAGGGATGTTGGCTTAAGAGGAGTGGAGGGCGTTTTAATAAGGTGGCATTTTTAAAAATTTCTTCCAGAACGTTGCTAGCAAAGTAGATCTAAGTTGATTGAACTGGGGGGCCATTTCTATTTTTTTGCGGGAGCTCTCCGGGGTGCTGAAATTTTCTTTTTCTCCAACACTTCGGACTCCGCGACGGTAGAACGGGTTTGTTCGGCAGGTTTCTCCCCCCTCTTGAAGTTATTTCCATGCCTGCTTTAATTCCTTTCAGATTCTGGACTTTTTTAACTAACACACAAACTCACATATACACACACAATGGCCTAAACACACCCTAAAGAACAATATAAGTATGCATAACCGTTGCACAAAAGCTTATCTATTTTGAAAAAAAGAAATCTAAAATAATTTTATCTTCAAAAAACATATTTGGGGGGGGGAGAATCTGTTTTAATAGTTTTAGTTTTAACTCGTATTAAGATTAATACTTTAATAGTTAGGAAACTGTTCGAGGCTGGGGGAGGAGGAAAAAGACAAAAAGGAGACCCTATAGAGAAGGAGGGGTCCTTGTTGCTCTCTGAGCTTGGTGGTTTTCTGGCAGGCATTTCATTACCCAACTAGGTAACATCATCAGTCCTACTACTAGCACTGATGATCTTACCTAGTTTGGGTAATGAAGTGCCTGCCAGAAAACCACCAAGTTCAGGAAGCATCAAGGACCCTACAGTCCTCCTCCTCTCCCTGCAAACCCCACTCCCTTCCAGCACTGATGATGTTACCTTGTTGGGTCATGAAATGTCTGTAAGAAAATGACCACTCATTTCAAATCTGAGCTACAAACATACTCCTTTATAGAAAGAAAGAAAGAAAGAAAGAGAGAAAGAAAGAAAGAAAGAAAGAAAGAAAGAAAGAAAGAAAGAAAAAAAGGAAGGAAGGAAGGAAGGAAGGAAGAAAGAAAGAAAGAAAGAAAGAAAGAAAGAAAGAAAGAAAACAACAACTGAACAACTAAGCAAAACTAGAAAAAAAATAATAATTATGTTTTCCAACACGCTGTCCAGTGCCATGCTCTGTAAAATACGTTGGAGGGGAGAATTCACAAATCAGATTGTCTAGCTGTGAGTGGGTTTAAGCACCCACTCCACCCATTTGGGGGCCGGTGTGTAGCTATTAATTATCCACTCTTACTTTTCTTGCTGACGGGAATTTTGCTATGTAGAGTCAGCCCACATCGGGGCACTGTGCAATTTATCTTGGGGCTGAGAGACCGGAGTGGTTTTGTTAGAGGCAATGCCTGAAAATGGTAGTTAAAATCCTGGCTTGTGTGTTTAAATACAAGTGCCAAGGAGGTTGTTATCCCTGGCATTTTCAAGCAGGTGTGTGGTCAGCAGGGTGAAACCTTCCTGGCTTCCGGCCAGTTTTGGAAACTGGAAAAAAAAAATAGAGAACAAAAAGTGGAAGTGTGTTGGAAGAAAACAGCAACAAGAAAGATCTTTATTTGCCCAGAAATTAGAAAAAGGAGGCCCGTTTTAAATAAGATTTGGGGTTCTCTTCCCAATCGGATCCCAAATGGTCTTTTCTCTTTTTTTTAATTTATTTTTTTAAAAAAAAGCATATTATAAATGCTAACACTGAGTTAGAATATTGTCAGACACAAAGAATGAGGACTCTCCGTTAGGTTGCGGGTATAGAAGATTTATTCAACCCTGTACAGGTAATCCTCAATTTATGGCCACAGCTGAGCCCAAAATTTGTGTTGTTAAGTGAGACATTTGTTAAGGGAGTTTTGCCCCGTTTCACAACCATCCGTGGCACAGTTGTTGAGTGAATCACTGCCGTTGTTAAGCTAGCAACATGGTTATTAACCATTCAAATGCTTGTCAGAAAGTGGCAACACTGCAACTGTCATAAATATGAGTCAGTTGCCGGGCATCTGAATTTTGATTCCGTGACCATGGGAAGAAGCCGAGGATGGAAGCTAATCAAGGAGAGAAGCAACCTAGAACTAAGACGAAAATATACTGACAGTGAGAACAATTAATCGGTGGAACTCCTTGCCACCAGAAGTTGTTGGGTGCTCCAACACTGGAGGTTTTCAAGAAGAGACAGAACAATTATTTGTCTGGAATGGTAGAGGATCTCCTGCTTGAGCAGGGGGTTGGACTAGAAGACCTCCAAGGTCCCTTCTGACCCTATTATTCTATGTTCTGCCTAGACCCCTGTCCCTTGGCTACCTGTTTTTTGTTTTTTTTTTTAAATTTGATTTATATGCCGCCCTTCTCCAGAGACTCAGGGCGGCTTACAGTGCGTTAAGCAATAGCCTTCATCCTTTTGTATATTTATACAAAGTCAGCTTATTGCCCCCACAAACTGGGTCCTCATTTAACCTACCTTAGAAAGGATGGAAGGCTGAGTCAACCTTGAGCCTTGGAGAGATTCGAACCAGCAGTAAATTGCAGGCAGCTGTGTTAATAACAGGGTGCTTTGCTCAGGAATCTATCCCAAAGTTATTCCTTAAAGAAAAGGAGAACCTCCTGCATGCCTCCTGCATTGGATTTGTATTTTTATTATCTTCTTGCTGCTCTCCCCTTCCTCAGGCTGCCAGGCGAGCCGAGAGCCAGTTTGATTTTAAGGAATCAAAGATTCCTTAAGGACTCAAGGACCAGGAATTGGGGATGGAGCTCGGCTGGGATGCAGGTCTGGTGGGAGACAGGCTCATGTTCCAATATTTGAGGGGCTCCCACAGAGAGGAGGGGCTCAAGCTATTCTCCAAAGCAAGACAACGAATAATGGATGGAAACTGATCAAAGAGAGATTCAACCTGGAAATAAGGAAGGAATTTTCTGGCCATGAGAACAATCAACCGATGGAACAGAAGTTGCCTTCGGAAGTTGTGGGAGCTTCATCCCTGGAGGCTTTTCAAGAAGAGACCGGACGGCCATCGGTCAGAAATGGTGTAGGGTCTCCTGCTTGGAAGGGGGTTGGACTAGATGACCTACAAGGTCCCTTCCCATTCTGTTCATCTGAATATCGCAGGGAGAGTCTCTTTCTTAAAATGGCTTCATTCAAACCAGGCAAAATCCAGAATCGCGCCTCCCTGCCTTGTTAGCCGTTCTCGAAATCGACTGTCGTAACGTGACAGGCCAGCCTGCAACATACGTGTGTGTGTGTGTTTCATTGGAAGGAAAAGCGTGCAAAAGATACAAAAGAAAACAGCCCCCACCTCCTTAAAAAAAATATCCAAATAAACAATACTGCCGATGACAAGAGAGTTCCACTCAGCAGAGGGAACCTGCTGGAGACGAAGTTTTTGTATCCCTGTCTTCCTTAAACACCTAATTACTGTAACTAGTCTCGGGATTTAAGGCAATTAGCAGCTGTCATTTCCCTCGTACCCCTGCAAGGACTCTTGCAACCCGCAGTGGGGAAGGCAGTTCCCCGGTTTTGTTCGGGCTCCCACTCTGCACCAGGTTTAAGACAGGTGTGGCCACCCGCTTCTCAGTTCCGAGGGCGCCTTGTTGTTGTGGGCGTGGGGGAGGACGGAGGCAGAGACAAAGAGGGGGCCCCAATCGACTATAACTTTTTCGAAAGGTGTAGTTTGTTAGGAATCTTTGCCCCCTTATAAAGACAAATCGAAAGAGGGAGGGAGGAAGGAAGGAAGGAGGGGAAAAAAGATGAGAAGGAGGGAGGAAGAGAGAAGAGGGAGAAAACAAGGAAGAAAGGGAAGGAAGGAAAGAGAAGAGAAAGGAAGGAAGGAAAGAGATGGAAAAGGAAAGGAGGGAAAAAGCAAGGAAGGGAGGGAAGGGAGGAAGAGAGAAGAGGAAGGGAGGAAGGGAAAGAAAGAAAGGTAAGAGGGAAGGCAGGAGGGAGGAACAATGGAAAAAAGAAAAGGGAGGGAAAGAGGAAGATAGGAAGAAAGGAAGAAAGGAAGAAAGAAGGGAGGATGGGTGGATGGATGGATGGATGGATGGATGGATGGATGGATGGTTGGATCAGGGAAGAAGGAAGGAAGGAGGGGAAAAAGATGAGAAGGAGGGAGGAAGAGACAAGAGGGAGAAAGCAAGGAAGAAAGGGAAGGAAGGACAGAGAAGAGGAAGAAAGGAAGGAGATGGAAAAAGGAAGGAGGGAAAAAGCAAGGAAGGAAGGGAAGGAAGAGAGAAGAGGAAGGGAGGAACAGAAAGAATAAAAGGAAGAAAGATAAGAGGGAGGGAGGGAGGAGCAAAGGAAAAAAAGAAAAGGGAGGGAGGGAGGGAAAGAGGGAGGGAGATAGGAGGAAAGAAAGAAAGGAATCGGAAGAAAGGAGGGAGAGAGGATGGATCAGGAAGAAAGGAAGGAAAGCAAAAATGAAAAGAAACATCCAATTTTCTTTTTAACAGATAATTACAGTCTTCGTCCCTCAACTTAGATGATACCCAAGTAGCATCTTCATCCCCTCATTTCATCCACCTCTTTCTTCATCTTCGGGTCCACCAGCCACAATTTCAGGCCTCTCTTCTTTCAGCAAAAAGTCCCCAGCCTGAAAGGCTTCCAGTTAGCCTCTCAGAAAAGTGTTTGTGTGTGTTTCTTCACACCAAGCATGTCAGTTTTGCCATTTCTGCAAATTTGACGTTTTCACAGTCCAGCCCTCCACTGTGGCTATTTCATTAATTCTTCCATCACGGTGCATACAATCACCTTGCTTCAGTCACCATCTACAAAATCGGTCTAGCTAGCGTGAGTTGGATCCCGTTGACTTAGAGCGAAGAACATTTCGAAGAGGGCAAAATAGGAAATGAAAGCAAAAGATCTCTCAGCTTGAGTAGATCTCAACTGCTCCTTAACAAATGGGTCATCGGACAATTCCAAAACAGCCATTTGTGAACATCTCCATAAATATTGGATTTAGCCAGGGCACAGAGTCCCTTCCTTCTCTGCTAGGGAATGCAGAAAAGGTACACATTTCTACCCCCAGTGAACCAGCATAAATGGGAGAATGTACAGAATTACAGATTCAAAGGTTGGGATTAAGATCTGGAAAACTTTGGTAGAACCCCATCAAAACAGTCTTCAATTGTCCATCCTTCTGATGGCGAATTTCATCTTCTGAAGTCCTAATTAGGAGAAATGCAGTTCTGTCCCATCCCATACAGTCCAAGGGTGTCCAATTTTGGAAACCCCTTAAGACTTGTGGACTTCAACTCCCAGAATTCCCCAGCCAGCACTCATGGTCTTCCCGTTTTGTAGCCTGCTGTCATAACCACGAGACCAAACTGGCTCTCTAATCAGACTGGCCTGACAAGCTATGATAGCTTTTTTGTATGAAATGTGATGCCTTCAAAACTCGGTGTATCCACTTGGCTTGGTATCTCAGTCCCAAAAAAATCATCATAGAAGTTGAAGTTCCTTGGTGACAAGCTTCCCCGAGACGCTTTCAAGATTCCTAATGTCATTCCTTAAATGATAACCTATTATAGCTTTCTTGCATGAAATGTGATGCCTTCAAAACTCGGCGTATCCACTTGGTTTGGTATCCAAAAAAACCATCATAGAAGTCAAAGCTCCTTGGTGATAGCTTCCATAAGATGCTTTCAAGATTCCTAACCGGTCCATGGCCCAGAAGATTGGAAGATCCCTTCCCTAGAGGAAGCAATTAAATCCCTGGCTTATCCATCCTCCAGATCTCCCAAGAACGAGGATGAAACTCGAGGATCGGGCAGGCGTAGTAGGGTATCTTGACCTCCCTTGGCTTCTCACAGCAGAAGCAACAAAGCTTGGCCTATGTGGTTCAGCGAAAATTGAGATGGGGGTTCCTTGAATGGGGGAGGGGGGGCAAGGTTACTTGAGAAGGGAGAGGAAGGGGAGATGCCCCACCATATGGGTACAGATGTCCCAGCGTGATAGAGACTCCGTGCCTGCTTTTGGAGGAACTGAAAAAAAAGAGGAAGGGACAGTTTGAAGCTGAAAGGCGCCACTGTTTCTAATTTAGCTTCTTAATTACTGGGGAGAGAATGGGGAGGGAGGGTCCCCTTTGAAGATTCTCCTTTGAAAAGGCTGGCTTCTCCTCTCCTCCTCCCCTGTTCCTCTTCTTCCTCCTGGGGATTAGACATGGCCATCCTGTTCCGCCTTTGCATTGTGCCGTCTTTTGATAATCCCACGTGAGGCACACCTGAAGGCTCTTGTCTGCTCTTTCGCCATCTGCCCCAAGATGTCAGCTCCCTGGGCTTCACAGGGTCTCCTCCAGATGGCCTTTGATAATGTTACATGTGTAATAATCATAATAATCCTCCTGGCTTTGAGGGTCCTGAGATGAGGTCCTGGGAAGAGGAACAATAGAATTGAATGGCTTCAGGTAATCGGATTCAGATTAGCGGAGTTGAAAGGGACCTTGCAGGTCATCTAGTCCAACCCCCCCTCTGACCAAGCAGGAGACCCTACACCATTTCTGACAAATGGCAGTTCAATCTCTTCTTGAAAGTCTCCAGGGATGAAGCTCCCACAACTTCTGTTCCATCGGTTGATTGTTCTCACTGTCAGAACATTTCTCCTTATTTCCATGTTGAATCTTTCCTTGGTCAGTTTCCATCCATTGTTCCTTGTCTGGCCTTCAGGTGCTTTGGAAAATAAGTTGACTCCCTCCTCTCCGTGGCAGCCCCTCAATTATTGGAAGATGCTATCCTGTCTCCCCTGGTCTTCCTCTTCTCTAGACTAGCCATGCCCAGTTCCTGCAGCTGTTCATTGTCTGTTTGAGCTTCCAGTCCCCTCATCCTCCTGGTTGCTCTTCTCTGCACTCTTTCTAGAGTCTCAGCATCTTTTTTATAGTGTGGTCACCAAAACCGGATGCAGGATTCTAGGTGTGGCCTTACTAAGGCTTTGCACAGTGGTGTTAGTACTTCACTCGATCACTTAACTGTGGCAAGAAAGACCATCTGTATAGAACTGGTAGCTCTGATTCTTTTTTCCCCCTTCGAACCTTGTGCAGGTACTCCTCGACATACGACCACAATTGGGACCAGCATTTCCATCACTAAGCAAAACAGGTGCTAAGTGAGTCGCGCCCAATTTTACGACGGTTTTTGCCATGGTTGTTAAGTGAATCATTGCAGAAGCGTATCACGTGTTTCTTAAATTAATCCAAATTTCCCCTTGTAATTTGAACCCATTACTTTAGACTTTGGCGAGCAGGAAGGAAAGATAGTTCCTTTAATACGAACAGGACTTAACTGTTGAGTAGTTACGTACAGATAGTTCTCGGCTTACAACCACAATCAAGACAAGGAATTTCAGGGGCAATCCAGAGTTATGATGGTTAAGCAAGTTGTCATGTGATCAGACCTGACCTTATGACCTTTTCCACCTGTGGTCATTAAATGAATCCAGCTTTCCTCATTGATTGTGCATGTTGGAAGCTGGCTGGAAAGATCTGAAATTGCAATCACGTGACATCAGGATCCTGCCACCGTCATAAATGCAAGTTGGTTGCCAAGCCCCATTGTGTGACAGTAAAGATGCTGTGATGGTTCTAAGTCAATTTTGCAGCGCCGTGGTGAACTTGGAATCGCCGTTAAACAAATGGACGCAAATCAAGGACTACCTGTACAGGAGTGTGCTGTCTACGGAATTCCAATATGGGATTTGGAGTTTTACGGCTAGTGAATCAGGTAAGATTGACCTTCCGAAACCTTAAGCTACTGCTCAGAGCAATCTCTGTCTTTATCGGTAGGCTTCTGGTTCAGCCCCGAAGGCGAATTCATCCGCCATTGCATCGACCATTCCCAAGACCTGGTGGAGGGAAAAGTCCAGCTCTCTGTCTTGAAGGGTAACGTCTACATTTTGGGAAGGGAATCGCGCCAATCCCTGTACAACGAGGAACTTGTAAGGTAAGTCCCTTAAGTGTAATTCCCAGAGTGATAAAGCTTCTGGAGAACCGTTTGTCAACAAGTCATTTGTAGGAGATGAACTGAAGCGGAGGGCGGCATTAAATGTGTCAGTAGTTTGGAGTCATGGTGCAGCCACAAGTGAGCCCAGCCTCCCTTGAATTCCATTGACCCTCATCTAATGCCAATTTAGCTTTGGCCTTGAGTTGAACAGATACTTATGCGTAAAGGTAAAGGTAAAGGTTCTCCTCGCACATCTGTGCTAGTCGTTCCTGACTCTAGGGGGCGGTGCTCATCTCCGTTTCAAAGCCGAAGAGCCAGCGCTGTCCGAAGACGTCTCCGTGGTCATGTGGCCGGCATGACTCAACGCCAAAGGCGCACGGAACGCTGTTCCCTTCCCACCAAAGGTGGTCCCTATTTTTCTACTGGCATTTTTTACGTACTTTCGAACTGCTAGGTTGGCAGAAGCTGGGACAAGTCACGGGAGCTCACCCCGTTACGCGGCACCAGGGATTCGAACCGCTGAACTGCCAACCTTTCAATCAACAAGCTCAGCGTCTTAGCCACTGAGCCACTGCGTCCCTCTACTACTTATGCATAGGTAGCAATAACTAAACTCTTCTGTGCTTTGAACTCAATGAATACTCCTAGTTATTGAGGTCTCCATGCCGGCCACATGATCACGGAGACGTCTTCGGACAGCGCTGGCTCTTCGGCTTTGAAACGGAGATGAGCACCACCGCCTAGAGTCAGGAACGACTAGCACATATGTGCGAGGGGACCTATGGAATATAGAATGACAGAGTCGGAAGGGACTCTGGAGGTCTTCTTGTCCGACCCCCTCTGTTCAAGTTGCTGCATTCCACTGTCATTATGTGGTTTAAATCTATGTTGAACAATGAAGCATATTTTTAAAATTTGCCCTGAGTTTTCTGCACATCCTGTGGTTAAAAATGCCCCCGAGATTTAAAAAGTCTAAAATCTTCACCTTGACATTATTTATTCTTAACTTCAGCTTTTTCTTCTGTTTTGCTTTAAGAGGTATGGGGGGGGGAAAAAAAACCTACACAATTAAGCAAAGGTCTTGTTTAAAAGTGAAAAGTATTTTTCGTCATTAAGCTTTCAGCCTTATATATATATACCCACACACACATACTGTGCCGTCTGCTTCTCTTTCTTATTTCTGTCTCTTCGTTTCCCCTTTCACTCCTTCGAAATGGCTTTATAAGCCATAAATATACCCAAATCAGTTTAGATCAGTCAGAGTAAATGTCAGATTATGCCTCTCCCCTCTGGATCTTACTTTCCTCCCCCTTCAAATCAGCAGTTTCTAATAATTCCATCTCAACCTTTCATTATCGTTTGCATTCTCACGCGGCGAAATTAAATGAATAACGTTAAAAAGAGAGAGAGAGGGAGGGAGAGGGAGAGAGCGCGCGGGGTGGGGAGAAGGAAGAAAGAGCGCAAAGGAAAAAGGAGAGAGAGAGAGAGGGAGGGGGAAAAACAAAAACCCAGGGACATTTATTCTCACTGTGTCGTTAGCCATTTTTCTTTTCTTCCTGATTTCTACATCGTTGGGTTGAAAAGCATTTGAGTGACGGCATCACGGGAACTGAAGCGGGTGCCACAAGAGATGTAGCGCGCGAGAAATGTCTCTGCACAGTGGGTAGAAAGTAACATAATTACAGAGCAGGTCACTACCACTTCGATGAGCAAAAATAAAAGCTCAGAGGTTTTTCTATAGCCCTTCGGGGGAGGTAAAGTCATTGTAAACTGTCTCTCTCTCTCTCTCTCTCTCTTTTTAATTTTTTCTTTTTTCTCTCCCCTTTCAAAAATAACAAAAAACGAGGGTTTGCGGTTTGCAGAAAAGGAAGAAGGTTCCGTTTTGTGTTTGAATTTAACTTTCGTGATGAGCAGCGGAATCCGGTTTGCAATCCGATTTGGGGTTGAAACTAGCGTGCGGGATTTCTGTTGCACGCTTGATGCACAACTTCTTGTGAGAATTGGTTGTGCAAAGGGCAACTTCTGAATTTTGCAGGACAGGGGCTTATTCGGTCGTCTCCCTGTTTGCAAACCGCAGCTCACTGTCTCCTGGTGATTGGCCCAAAGTCACCCAGCCTGCTTTTTTTTTGGGGGGGGGGGGTTAAGGTGGGACTAGAACTCACCGTCTCCTGGTGATTGGCCCAAAGTCATCCAGCTGGCTTTCATACCTAAGATGGGACTAGAACTCACCATCTCCTAGTGATTGGCTCAATATCACCCAGCTGGCCTTCATGCCTAAGGTGGTACTAGAACTCACCATCTCCTGGTGATTGGCCCAAAGTCACCCAGATGGCTTTCATGCCGAAGGTGGGACTAGAACTCACCGTCTCCTGGTGATTGGCCCAAAGTTATCCAGCTGGCTTTCATACCTAAGATGGGATTAGAACTCACCATCTCCTAGTGATTGGCTCAATATCACCCAGCTGGCCTTCATGCCTAAGGTGGTGCTAGAACTCACCATCTCATGGTGATTGGCCCAAAGTCTCTTCCAACTCTATCATTCTTTTAAAAGGGCCCATCGTTAGAGATCACCAATTGGTTAGAACATGGACATCTGCTACAGGTCGAAGACAATCTCTCTCTCTTTAGCCAAGTCAACCCACCGGCCACTCTGCTCCTTTGAAAAACGGGGAGGGAGAATTTAACCGGGGAGGGGAGGGGAGTTTGAGAGAGAAATCAGAGGAAGAAGAAAAGAAAGAGGTGGCGTAAGAGACCTTGGGCACATGGAACATTATACGGCTTGTTTTTTATTGCCCCATAATTAATGGGCCGTTGCTTTGCTCGGACAAAAGGGCCTTTCTGAGGCTAACCGTTTTCAAGTCAAAGGTTGTCGAGAGACATCACTTTTAAATTAGGTGATTGTGTGCCAGGAGTGGATTCTACACGGGTGAAGGTTGAGAGCCTTTGATGGGGAGGGAAACAGAAGTAGCTTTGTCAAGGAACATGGACTCTTCCTTCACGGAGAGCTGTTGACAAAACTCTACCTTGGAGCAGGGGTGAAATCTATTTACCTTCGGAAGTGCGCGCTCCGCCATCATCACGTCTGATTTTTGACCCTCTGTGTGTGCGCAAAGTCTTCTGTGCATGCACAGAGAGTCAAAAATGGGTTACTTCCTTATTAAAACCAAGAAGTAACAGCATCTGGGCAGGTGGGCGGAGCCATGCACCAGCTCGCTACCAGTTCGCCGAGCCATGCAACACCGCCGCTACCAGTTCGGGTGAGCAGGACAGAACCGGTAGGATTTCACCACTGCCTCGGAGGCAATCAAGGGTCAACCATCTCCAAATCCAATTTCTGGATGTTTAGTCTTCCCTGCCTAACTCAGGTAGTTCTCGACGTACGACAGAGACTGTTCAAAGTGACAATGGCACTGAAAAAAGTGACTCCGGATCGTTTTTCACACTTACGAACTGTTGCCGTATTCCCACGGATGTGTGATTAAAATTCGGACACTCGTATTTGTGACGGTTGCAATGGCCAGGGGTCAGGTGATTCAACCTTTTGCGACCTTCGGACGAGCAAAGTCAGTGGGGCAGGTTCCAGAAAGCTGGGAGAAAGTTTGTCTGAAGTGGTTTAGAGTTTCTTGCCTAAGCAGGGGGTTGGACTAGAAGACCTCCGAGGTCCCTTCCAACTCTGTTATTCTATTCTATTCTATTCTATTCTATTCTATTCTATTCTATTCTATTCTATTCTATTCTATTCTATTCTATTCTATTCTATCCTATCCTATCCTATCCTATCCTATCCTATCCTATCCTATCCTATCCTATCCTATTCTATTCTATTCTAAAATTTCCAGGTCAGCCCAGATCCTGGTTAAAGCCAAATTCTGCAAACTGTCAAAGGAGGCTAAGAACAGGCTGGAGAAGTTATATTATGCCACACCAATGACAGATAATCCGTAATTTAACAGTCATTAAGTTCAGCCACAATTCAAAGGCTACAACAGCACTGGGGGGGGGGAACCATGATTTAGACCTGTCCTCGCACTTATGACCATCTCACTGTCGCCACGGTCACATGATCAAAATTCGGGCAACGTGGTAGCTGGCATGTGTTGACAACGGTTGCAGCATCCTTGGGTCACGTGACCCCCAAATCTGCAACCCTCCCAGTCAGCTTCCAACAAGCCAAGTCTTGACGTTTGTGTGAGTCACTTCACAGTTGCAGGGACTCGCTTAACAACCGTCGCCAAAAAAAAAAAAAGGTCATAAAATCAGGCTGCTTAACAACTGCCTTGTCTTTAGCAATGGAAAATTGTTTTTCCAGCTGTGATCCGAAATCGAGAACTAACTGTACTCTGCAGTGTATGGAGGTAGCCTACTTCTGCCCTAACCTTGGCTTAAGATCAGTGGTGGGATTCAAATTTTTTTACTACTGGTTCTGTGGGCGTGGCATGGTGGGCGTGGCATGGTGGGCATGGCCAGGGGGTATGAGAGGCAGCACTCGGCCTCCTGCAACCCCCCTGGGAGCAAAAAGGGGATGCAGGGTGGGGGGATGCACCACTCCCCCGCACCCCGTTTTGGGCCTAGTAGGCCTCCCTGCACTTACCTGGGAGCCAAAATGGGGTGCGTGGGAACGCCTGGAAGGGGCGGGGCAGGAAGGGGCGGAGATAACCAGCAATTTAACTACCAGTTAAATTCGCCGGTTTGAGCGAATTTAAGTACCGATTCGCCCGAACAGGCTGAATCCCACCACTGCTTAAGATACTTAATACTGCTTAAGGTTTCTCGAGTGAAATCCTGGTCTGTTTCTAAACTAAATATTGCAGTTCTGACTTGTCCTTTCTCTTCCTTCCATTCAGCATGGATGTTCAAGGGAGTTATGAACCCACGGATGCCACTGGATTCATCAACATCAATTCCCTTAGGTTTGTATTCCCTCTAAACAATGGCTCCCATCTGCTAATTAATCAGTGGAACAGCTTGCCACCAGAAATTGTGTGGGTGGTCCATCACTGGAGGCTTTTAAGAAGAAACTGGGCAGCCACTTGTCTGAAATGGATTAGGCTCTTCTGCTCGAGCAGGGGGTCGGTCTAGAAGACCTCCGAGGTCCCTTCCGACCCTGTTATTCCATATTCTATTTGTTCATACTAGGGAGATTTGGGGACAGGTACGATGGATGGATGCAATTATATTAGGCGGAAGTATAATGGGATCGAGATTTTTTTTTAAAAAAAGGAACTCTTTATTTTCCCCTCCCCTCAAATCTGAACACCTGAATGTTTCCTATCTTGAGGCAAGAGGGAGAAGGATTCCTGCTTTTACATAGCCCAGTTTAGAACTGTTTTGAGAGGGAGACACCTTCAAGGTAAATAGCAATAGCCCTTAGACTTATATACTGCTTTACAGCCCTCTCTAAGCGGTTTAACAGAGTCAGCCTCTTGCCCCCAACAATCTGGGTCCTCATTTTACCCACCTCGGAAGGACGGAAGGCTGAGTCAACCTTGATCCTGGTGGGATTCGAACTTGGCAGTGTTAGCCTGCAATACTGCATTCTAACCACTGCACACCAAGGAAGGGAGGAAGGAAGGAAGGAAAGGAAGGAAGGAAGGAAGGAAGGAAGGAAGGAAGGAAGGAAGGAAGGAAGGAAGGAAGGAAGGATAGCAATAGCACTTAGACTTATATATCGTTTACAGCCCTCTCTAAGCGGTTTACAGAGTCAGCCTCTTGCCCCCAACAATCTGGGTCCTCATTTTACCCACCTCGGAAGGAGCAAAGGCTGAGTCAACCTTGAGCCTGGTGAGATTCGAACTGCCAAATTGCAGGCAGCCGGCAGGCAGCCGAAGGAGCCTGCAGTACTGCGCTCTCACCACTGCGCCACAGCAATGGCTAAAAACGGCTGACGCTGGGGAGGAAACGTGATGAAAAGGACTGAACCTGAAGCCGTCCTTGTTCATTTCGTGCTTTTATGAAAACGGCAAAGAAGCTCCTTCCCTTTCCGAGCACTTTCGAACACGCGCTGGCCTGTGAGGCATTTGGGCGGGTCCTGTTTTGAATGCTGAAGGATTAGGGAGTTTTGAGCCTTGCCCGTGGTCGGCTTGAATGCGTGTAGCTCTTCCTCTCTGGTTTATTTATTTGTTCAACTTGTATGCCGCCTTTCTCCGAAGACTCAAGGCGGTTGAGGCAACGAAGGTGAGGCCGAGTGCTTTCGCCAATGATGGAATACGGTCTTGAGCATGAAAACACATACATACAGAAGGGACTTTTTCCCCTCTGACTTGCTAGCTTTCTATCTGCAAGGCACGGTTTGCCAACACAAAGAGAACCTGTCAGTTTGCTGAATTCCTAAGAGTAGAAAACTATTTTTCTATTTAACACCATTTGCCATCATTCATTTTCCCCAGGTCTTTACTTACCTGTCATCTCTGCCCCCCACCAATCACCCATTTGCCCTCCTAGAAAAATGATACATTTACATAATGAGTTCTTCCTGTAACCTGTTAACTTCTTTGTTCTGGATGCTAATGTAGTGCGTTTTATTCCCTTCTATTAAATTCCAGATCTTTTGTGGGAGGCAGGAAGAGAGGGATGATGGGGATGGATGGAAATTAGAGAGATGGAGATTAGAGAGAGATGGAGGGAGGGAGGGAGGGAGGGATAAGATTAGAGAGGAGAGAGATTAAAGAGAGAGATTAGAGATAGATGCATGGAGGGATGGATGGATGGATGGATGGATAAGATTAGAGAGGAGAGAGATTAAAGAGAGAGAGATGGAGGGATGGATGAATAAGATTAGAGAGGAGAGAGATTAAAGAGAGATTAGAGATAGATGCATGGATGGATGGAGGGAGGGATGGATGGATGGATAAGATTAGAGAGGAGAGAGATTAAAGAGAGAGATATATAGATGGAGGGAGGGAGGGATAAGATTAGAGAGGAGAGAGATCAAAGAGAGAGAGAGAGATTAGAGAGAGCTGGAGGGAGGGAGGGAGGGATAGGATAGGATAGGATAGACAGAATGAAATAGACAGATAAAATGATAGCCACAGAATGGATGGATGGATAGATAGAAATAGAACAGATAGAAGATATAGATAGACAGACAGACAGACAGATTGATAGATAACCATAAAATGGATACATAGTTAGATTGATTGGTATATATGCTGTATATAGAATAGATGAACTGTTAGATAAGTGGATTGACAGATACATATAAATTGGATGGATAGATAGAAAGAAAGATGAGAGATATAGAATAGATGAGAGAGAGAGAAAGAAAGAAAGAAAGAGAGAGAGAGATGGAATTGATATATATATATATATATGTTTTTCTTCTAGCCAGGTTTTCCCTACGTAGCCAAGGTTTTTTTGTAGCTCCAGCTCAGTATATATATATATACTATATATATATATAGTATATATATATATATATATAGAGAGAGAGAGAGAGAGAGAAAGAGAGAGAGAGAGAGACAGACAGAATCAATATGACAGATAGATAGATAGATAGATAGATAGATAGATAGATAGATAGATAAAATGGATGGGGATGGATGGGTAGATGGATTACAGATAGATTATAGAGAAGATGATGGATGGATGGATGGATGGATGGATGGATAGAGATAGATGAATAGATTGATAGAGAATGGATGAATAGATGGATGAACAGATAGCTATAGAATGGATAGATAGACAGACAGACAGAAAAGGCTGACAGACACAAAACAATTGTGTGTTTAGCAGCCGGGAGTCAAAGAGAAAAACACAGGAATGAAACCCCTCTTAATAAATGCACCTTAGTGTTTATTGTTGTTTCACGTCGCTTAATTGCCTCAAACCTTCCTGCCGTTACATGTAAATTCCTAATTATATTTCTCCCCCCTTTCTTTTCTCTCCCTCTCCCTCCCTTCGGTTGGCATGCAGGCTGAAAGAATATCATCGGCTCCCCAGCAAGGTCAGGCTGGCTCAGAATTAATGGCAACCAAGAGGCCCCAAAAGCTTATTCCGTTAATTTCTTCCTAGCTCTCATCATCCGGGTCGCAATTGGTAATGTTATCCACCTTCCTGAGCCCTGTTTTATTACCCTTCTCAATTGTCGAGCGGCCGAAAAAGCAAGAGAGTTCGTCCTACGAAACCAAATCCTTATTAAAACATTTCCGTCATTATTTCACAGCTCTAACGAGCAGCACCCTTTGGATTCTTCCTTTCTTCACTTGGTTTCGGGTGGTTTTATCTTCTCACGCATTATCATCACGCATTGTTAAATTCCTGGGGAACCTGAAGGACACCCCCAGCCTGTATTTTGCTCAGAATTGGCAATTTTGTGTGTGTAAAGGGGAAAAAAAAATACATAATACCACCACGGTTGGATTTCACCCAAACCGAGCCCTCTTTCTACCTGTAAGAGCTTAGAGAAGAAAGGTGTGGGGGGGGGATAGCATTTTTCCTTTTAATCACTAACCATTAGGAGCCTCGCTTTGTCTTTGGCTTAATTGCTGTGAAGTCGGGTGGAGTTTCTCCCGGTCTGTGTTTCCTTTTCTTTTTTTCCCCTTCAAATCCTTTTATCCGATTTTTTGTTCTTGTTGATATTTTGATGCAAGTGCTTTTGACCTCCCCTGCGGATTCAGTGCTGAAAATCTAAATTCAAGGTAAAGAGGAGAAAAAGGAGAAAACGCTGAAGACATGTTAAAATGCTTGGTGTCCAATGCTATTGTTTTCAAACCGGTTCCAGGAGAAAAAAACAGAGAGGAAAAATATTATTTTTGTTTTGTTTTGCCTGCATGGTTTGGTAGGATGAAAGACACGGGATGGGAAGGCCAATTTAAACCCCTTTTAAGAGAGATTCGGTTGGTTGCCAACTTTGTTTTAGTTTTTTAAGTTTGTTGGCCATCATCTTTTTATTTATTTATTTATTTATTTATTTATTTATTGCTTCGATTTATATGCCGCCCTTCTCCGGAGACTCAGGGCGGCTTACAATGCGTTAAGCAATAGCCTTCATACTTTTTGTATATACCTGCTTAGTAGGGCTTTCGGGGGGCCCCCCCTAAGCGGTGTTCTTTTTTTTTATACAAAGTCAGCTTATTGCCCCCACAATCCGGGTCCTCATTTTACCTATCTCAGAAGGATGGAAGGCTGAGGCAACCTTGAGCCTGGCGAGATTTGAACTTGAAGTAATTGCAGGCAGCTGGTGCTACTTAACAGCACTTTAGTCTGCTGCGCCAACAAGGCTCTGTTCTTTTTTTTTTTTTGGTTCTTTTTTTCTACCGGTTTACATTAATCTGATTCTGCATTTTGTATTTGAGAACGGCGAGCAGAATCCATTGAGGGTTTTGCAAGCCGATCAACCTGTTGCTTTTTTTGAAACTTAATCAAGCCACTGTCACCACATAAGCCAGTCGCAGAGAAGAGAGGGTCTCACTCTCAACCTATTCTCCAAAGCACAGGAAGGCAGGACAAGAAGCAACGGATGGTCCCCTGGGTGAGCAGCGGGTTGGACTAAATGACCTCCAAGGTCCCTTCCAACTCTGTTACTGTGCAAAAGAGAGAAGCAACCTAGAACTAAGGAGAAATTTCCTGACAGTGAGGACAATTAATCAGTGGAACTCCTTGCCACCAGAAGTTGTGGGTGCTCCATCACTGGAGGTTTTTAAGAAGAGATTGGACAGCCATTTGTCTGAAATGGTACAGGGTTTCCTGCTTGAGCAGGGGGTTGGACTAGAAGACCTCTAAGGTCCCCTCCAATTCTGTTATTCTGTATATCGTCTTCCAATATTTGAAGGGCTGTCACAGAGAGGAAGAGGACAACCTATTTTCCAAAATACCTTAAAGCAGGACTTGGCGGGGTGACTTTGGGCCAATCGCCAGGTGACAGGGAATTCTAGTCCAGCCTTAGGCATGAAAACCAGTTGAGTGACTTTGGGCCAATCACTGGGTGGCCGTGAGTTCTAGTCCTGCCTTAGACATGAAAGCCAGCTGGGTGACTTTGGGCCAGTCCTCCCCCATTCTCTCATTCCAACCCGCCTCACAAGGTTGTTGTGGAGAAAATAGCAGGAGGAAGGGTTATTAAGTATGTTCACTGCAATGAGTTATTTATGAAATTAACGAGAAGGAGAAGGAGAAGGAGAAGGAGAAGAAGAAGAAGAAGAAGAAGAAGAAGAAGAAGAAGAAGAAGAAGAAGAAGAAGAAGAAGAAGAAGAAAATCACAAAGTACCGGGACTTGCAAATTGAAGTTGAGCGACTGTGGAAAAAGAAATCACGTGTTGTCCTGATTGTAATTGGAGCCCTTGGAGCGATACCCAAAGGGCTACCCCGCTATTTAGAAATTCTAAATTTACCGGACTTGAACATTTTGACTTTACAAAAAACCACCTTACTCGGAACAGCTTACATCCTCCGACGATACCTTAACAGTTCCTAGGTCCTTGGTTAGGACTCGAGCTGCTGAGCTATTAACCAGCCTCAAAGGCTGTGAATCTCACTAAAGATTAAATAATAATAATAATAATAATAATAATAATAATAATAATAATAATAATAATAATAGCAGCGACCTGCCCATCGAAACTACACGGCTATGGATGAAACATGCAACAGTGATACCCATGGTCATCAGGGCACTTGGTACCATGTCCAAGGATTTTACAAAATGCATCAAGAAATTGCAGCTTCCTGCAAAAACACCAGCAGAACTACAAAAAACTGCGCTACTCAGAACATGGTGCATTTTAAGAAAACACCTGGTGGATACTTAGGACGCTGGCAGCAACCTGTATCAATCGTTAGCACCAGTCAATGGTATTTGTGGTGCATTTTGAATGTTCAGTTGACTGAGGTTCATATTTAATGAATAAAGATCATCATCATCCTCATCATCATCTAAGCAAACTTCCTCAAACCCGCAAATACGTTAGCCAGACCTAATCCTTTGATATGTAGATTAGGTCTGGCTAACTTACTTTTGGGGAGGGGTTGAGGAAGTCTGCTTAGTTGATTCACTCAGGTTCAGCTCGACTGCCAATTATCGAACGGAGACACCAATTCTCGGGCCGTTGCAGATTCTGTGGCTATTTTAAGGGAAGATGGAAACAGTACGTAGAGAATAACATATATTTGGATTTCAAGCTTCTGATGCAACCGTCCGGATTTGCTCTGGCGCCCCACCGCAGGGTGGCCCTAAAGCCAAGGAGACTCCGGGTGCAAGGCAGCTGTTTGGGCACCGTCCCGTCTCGGTCTTTCGGCGTTGGGCTGATCTGCACTCTTCTCAGGCTGCGGAGAAAAAAGGGGCTTCGCCGGGGTCATTTCCAATCGATAACTCATCTCCCGGCTTTGCTAGCGGAAGTGATAGCCTATTGGAAGAAGTTAATGGCTTTGGTCTGGTGGAAGAGGCTAATCTTCCCCAGCTGCAGAAGGTCTCCGCAGGTGGGCTTCCCACATCTTCCACCACAATGACGGTGGCCCGTCCGTCACGTGGGATCAAACTCCTTTTCCTTCGCAAAGCTCTCCAAGTTTCTTACCTTGAGCTTGTGGGCCTGTTAAAAAGCTCACTTGAAAGAAAATTTCCCGTGTTTTTTTTTTCATTTCCCCGGAAGGCCGGCTTGAGTGGAGAAGCAGAGATTTCACGAGCCCACCCTGATGAATCGGGCACGTTACAGGGCAATCCTGGACTTACAACGGTTCCTTTAGCGACCATTCGGAGTTGTAACGGCAACTGAGAAAAAGGGGCTTCCCGGCCAGCTTCTGACAAGCGAAGCCAATGGGGGAGCCCTGACTCACTTAGTGACTGGATGACTGTGGCCCAAAAAAAAGGGGGGGGTCATGCCATCAGGTGTGACTCGCTGAACGACTACCTTGTTGAAGCCATGGAAATGATGGACGTAAAACCGAGGACTTGCCATCTCAAAAGCCGTCCAGGGTTTACTCCTTGCCGCGTCTTAAAAACGATCCCGAATCAATGTCGGGGGTTTCTTTTCTAAGATTTCCTCCCCTTCTCCAGGGGTGGGCTGGTGCTGGGGGCCTCTCCAAGTCCCACTTTCAAGAGATGGGACCCTGCCTTAGCTTTCCCGCTGCGGGGTTGGGATAGATGACCTCTAGGTTTCCCCTTCCCCTCCCTTTCTCCCAAGAGAGGCCCTTTGGATAACTTTAGCCTGCGGGGGAAAAAATGATCTATTCCAGTTGGGGAAAGGGGGGGAAAAAATAAATAAATAAAAACTGCTCCAGAAGTTTTTTTTTTTAAAAAAAGGACCCTCACAAAGCCAGTTTGTGAATTTAGTCATTTTCGGGGGGGGGGGGGGGAGTCCCTTTCGCCTGAAGCTTCTAGAAACGGTCGGCAAAATCCTCCTTTGTAAACCCCTTAACAAGATGGCTTTGTGGGGGACCTGGCTGGCTCCTTCTGTCAAAGCGGTCCCTGGGCATGTTTGAAAGCGGCCATTCTTTTCCATTCCCCTTGTCCTGGGAAACCACCTGAGGGAGAAACAGGATGGGGAACCCAAGCCAGCGAGGGCAGAGAGGCCATCGCCCGGAGCCGTCCCGAGGGACCGTCCCTCGCCACGAAGAAAGCCAAGACCGAGAGAGGCCCTACAGAAGGCACCCTTGATGGCATCTGGTCACTCAAATCGCCGTGGTCAGTTGGGGGGTGGCTCTTCCGATCCCGAACACCCCCCTCCCTAGTCTTAATTGAGGCTGGGCTTAAATATCCCGAGAGGCCCCTGATCCGACAGGTAAAGTTTTATTGGTAACCGTAGCCATCCTCGGTGGCCTGCTGCCGGCCTCTGTTTCCCCCTTTGGCACTTTTGGGGAGAGGTGATCAAGGAAGGTCAATGGGTTGACCTCTGGGGTTACGGGAGAGCCGGCTCAGAGCGCATGTCGTCAGCCTGTGAGGCTCCGGTAGCTTCTGTGAGTCATGGGTTGAGTTGGGCTCAGAGAGACGGACAGGCCCTGGCGTTTTTGACGGAGACCCATCTCCGGTTAAACTAACATTCAGAGGTTTCAATTCCATTCGATTCAAATCTTTACGGTCGGGGCGCAACCTACGTACAATAAAATCGATGGAGCTCCCTCAGTGCACACCCCCCCCAACACAACACAACTCACAGTGAAGACAAAAAAAAAATCCCTAACCCAATAAATTGTATTAATAACCACGCAGTCCTATTGCACCGGTGTG